GAAGTTGGGGGTGAACTACTGCTACCACCCATCGCCAGGCTGCAAGTTCACATCTTTCAGGTGAGATGAGTAGTAGGATTATGCCTTTGGTTGGCTGACTCTCCTGAAGGAGAGAAAGATGGCTGGGTGCTGAAGTGTAAGCTTACAAATGGAGGACCACCCTCTGCAGGTATGTCACAAGCGGCTAGCAGTTGGATCTGTTGTTATACATGTAGCAAAATACTTGGAAACAGGTAGTTACTAATTTTATGATATTAAACTATTATGTATTAGATTATTTTTTAACAGTTATAAATGTATCTTCAGGGATTTTAACACAGTGGTTTTTGTTTTTTGGTTGTTTTTTTTTATCTTTTCCAAAAAGTTCTTTAAACAACTCCTGTAATACATGTTACAATAAAAACTTGCACATTTAATACTGAAAGGTAAGAGAATAGAAGCGTCTGGGTCTGCTGAGACTATTCCTTTGCTTTGTGTTCAAAATAATCTATGAGCTCCTCTTCCTTTTTTTTAATCTTAATTTGTTAGGGTGGTTGGTATTCTATGACAACCTGAGTTTTCTTGCTCTGGGTGGATTTGACTATAATGACACTTTGATAAATTTCTTCTCAGACAATGCAGTGCTACTGCAAAGTGGTTGCCTAGAGTAGCACCTTCAAACTCAGTCTGCGCTTTTCATGCATTTGGTCTTGTCTGCTGATTTCATTCACCGACTTCTTTTTTTCTTCTATTTGTACAGTAAAGGCAACACATAAATCTTTGTTCATTCTGTTCCATTTAAGCCCATTAAAACACTTGTCTGGTGCACTGCCTCGGGCTCTCCTTTGCACTACAGCAAGGCAAGTTTTGTTTCCAGTTATAACCACTACAAAAGAGCACAGAAAAATGAGTTTTAAAGTTAAATAGGCCCTGGGTTTTCAAAGTGTCCTGAATGTCATTTACAGAAGTAAAATAATGAAGGACTTGTTTTGACCTACAGAATCCTCCCCTAATAACAGTGCCTCTCAAGAAATAAGCAGAGTTTTAGAGTGAAGTCATCTCTAAAATGCATTTTTTATTAGTCCCTTTGTTCCTTCTGTCCCTTCACTGTTTGCCTCATACACTAGTTATTCATAACCTTTGCGAGTCACTGGGTTATCACAGTCCAGGTGGTAATTCAATTCCTGTACACTGCAGAGCCTCCCTCTTGCATATCTGTAACCTTCCTATTCTCCCACCTGGAGAGTGGGATAGTTGAGAGAGGTTCAGGTAGCTCTAGAATATCTGCCTTTGGCACTTCTCAAGGATGAAGTGCCAAATTTCACAAACTTTCCTGCAAGATGGGTGGTATCAGTTGCAGGAACAAGTGAGAAGCCTGTAACTCACACAGTTGGCTGCTGTGAAAGTAAAATGAACAAAACCCAACAATCCAACCAGCAAAGCCTTCCACTTTTGTTTTATTTGAAAACAGAATTGACTGTCTGCACTGCACATTTTTATTGACCAAGTAAACTAGTAGTGACTCCATTGACTCAAGCAGGAGTTTGAACTGCTGTGTCCTTCTCTGTTCCCTCTGTCCAGTCCTGTAACTGAGAGGAGAACAACCAACACCAAGTGTCTAAGTCTGGTCTCTAGCTTTTTTTCCCCTGCAGAAGAACTGCTCAGTTGCTCATTGGAGCCTTAATGGGGCAACCATGAAGGAAAGATCAGATCTGCCATCAACTAGAGAGACTTGCCCTTAAGATCAGAGTCCCGATCTGGAGCTGTGACAAATACAAGAGAAGAGGCTGCTACTTTGCTTATTTGTCTGGAGTGCAGGAACTGGATTATTTTAAAAACAGTATTTCATTGCATCTGTAATAGTTATCTCCCTCAAGTTTTACGGTGTCAAGTATTGTCTCAAAAGGCTATGGGCTTTCCATTTATTTATTTATTCATTTGCCTTTCTTTTCTGGCTATAAGTCTACTGAGGAAATGCAAAAAAAAAAAAAAAAAATTTCTTCAGGCTTTAGTAAGTGTAATTACTTTAGAAATTTCCTTCCTGATTATGATTATATGTACTTTTGTGTGTATGTAGGTAGATATATGAGGCAGATGGTAACAGATAGTTCTGCAAACTGTGATGTTCACTTCCTGCATATTCATGAATTTTTCAAAATCTGAAACTTCTTGAAGGATCTTAAATTCCATGTTGTACAGTTTGGGGGAAAAATATAGTTTATTTGGTTTGCTTCTTAGAGTTGTAGTATCACTGTCTTAACAAACGTAGCCTAGCTCTGAAGTATTAAGGGTGCCCTTCCATTTATGTCTAGGGCTCCAGAGGTGGTTTCACTGTGCAGGGACCAAGTTACAACAAGCTCCCATCATACCTCCTCTTCCTTAACTTATCAATGTGTGTCTGGGGACAGAAGGCTGTGTCTTTTGTCAGCCTTTAATTTCTCAGTTTGGGGTTACAGGCTGCTATGTGCTAAGCAAATGGTAATATGAAAAAGAGTGGCCTCAGATTTATATGTGAATTCAAAATTTTTGTCTTGAAGACTTTAGTAAATATATACATAGATATGGTTGTTTCTCTGTTTTTAGGAATACACTATAGATATAATTTTTGCCCAGACTTGGTATGACAGTCGTCTAAAATTTAACAGCTCAATGAAGGTGCTTATGCTTAATAGCAATATGGTTGGAAAAATTTGGATTCCAGACACTTTCTTCCGGAACTCAAGGAAATCTGATGCTCACTGGATTACGACTCCAAATCGTTTACTTCGAATCTGGAGTGATGGAAGAGTATTGTACACTCTAAGGTGGGTTTTTAAGAACTGGGTAGGAAAAAAATTAAACTGCTATGACCAAGAATATGAAAATAATGAATATTAATCAAATCCTTGGTATCTCTTTTGTTATGGACTGCAGGAATTTGCAAGGAGTTTAATAAAGGAGAAAAAAAAAGTTACTTGATTGTGAAAAACATGAAATTTATGGTATTGAAATATATTGCCTAGATAATCATGTAAAGAGAATTGAAGAGGTCAGCAAATTTTGATCTCATTTAGGCAAGACTAAAAAAAGATATTACATAGCATGTAGCACCGAGGTGGTCTGTCACTAACATGTTACAGATCTAGTAAAAAATTGTTTTGCAGACTTTCTATTCTAAATAGTTCAGTATCTCACTTTCACCAAATTATATTCTGTAAGCAAAATCTGGAATGCTTCAGATAATAAAACTGTCTTGCATATACTTTTAATATGTTTTCCCTTGCAAGCTATTGAAAACAACAGATCTGTTCATCTAAATTAGGCATAAGAAAAGATGTTGATGATAATTCTTGAGATAAGGTCTTGGGATGGCTTTAAGTTTTGTGTCACTTTTCAAACAGTTCTTGAAAGGCTGTAGTCTATAGAAAGCATTTTAAGGTCATCTCTCAATTTTGAGTAAGCCTAAAAAATCTTGAAATAGATTAGGAGCTGATCAAGAAGCAGTCCCTGCAGAGGATGCCCTAAATCTGATTCTGCCCTTGAGAGTTTGTTTATTTAAAACAAAAAGTAGCACATTTTAATTAATTACTTTTCAGTCATTTATGCTATTTTCATATGCAAGCTAGTTGTGTTGTATGAACAATTTATAAAAGTCTTCTGTATCAGAAGTAAGAAGAAAAAGAATGTTTTAAAAGGATTCTCCCCACTGAATTTTTTCTTAGCGTTCTTCGTTTCAGAGTATACAAATATGTCTGAAGAGCACTTTTTAAACAGTTTATTATACTGATGTTTATAAAAATCTCTAGAGAGCCTCTCTATTAACATGCTAATGTGTTTTTTTCCTTTTGTAGCTGACATACTTGGACTTTACTCTTCCATTGCCCATTCAGTTTCAATGTACAATTTATTTTAAACAGGGTCTAACACAAAGAAACAAACACAACCAAAACCCCCACCCTATAAGCTTTCCCAGAGCAATAGGTTAGAATTAATATGGTAGAGTGTGAGCTGTGAAGTGCAGTGAGCGAATAATAAGCCAGCAGAACAGGTATTCACCCAGTACTGCAGCATGGAAACATCTGTACAGTGAGGATATGGCCTGAATTTGGCCTAAAGTAGAATAACATTGAAAGGTTCATATGTTGGTTATTGAAGGAACAATAATTGGATCTGACAGTGCTCCAGGTTCACGGGCTTCCGTGTACCATGGTCTGTCCATTGCATCCATCAGTGATTCCAAATCTAGTTGTGTTGATTTTAATAAAAGTCTGGTTTTGTTTTCTTTAATCGTTTGACTATCCAAAGGTTAGAAATGGAAAGCAAAGGCAATAAATGAATATACTGTCATTTGAAAAGCATCTTCAGAGGGATGCAGTGCTTTACCTAGAAATGGGGGGATGTTCACACCACATCCTTCACCCCCCCTAAAACCCTCTTATAAACCTCTCTCTTGGTCAAGACTGATTTCTAGGATGGTCCATTGACATTTTGTGTAGAATAACTACTTTGTTCACAGCCTTCTAGAGCTTTCTGGCACCATGTGAATGAATCTTCCTCTCCCCATCCCTTTTTGTCTAGTATGTAAGTATTGCATATAGTCAAGTATGTAAGTATTACGTTAATTTTCAAAGTTGATTTTAGAAGTTTGGAGTCTAGCCCCTTACTCTAGTTTCCTAGTGAAAGTTAGTAGAACTGGGTTTTGCATTGGTTGCTTGGAAGGCTCTTTAGAAATCTGTGATAGTATTTTCAAAAGCAGCAAGTGATTCAGCTGATACCATTACAGTCCTAAATTACTTCTAAAATGTACATTACTTGCATGAATGCAACTAATTACTTGATGCCTTAGACATTAAATGTGTAGAAATACCAAGTCTGCTCTCTCGTATCCATGCTGCTGCCTTCCCAGAGCTGCTTCCATTAATACAGAGCAAGGCCAAGAGTGTCCTTACTCTCCTTTCATGTGTATGTATCTACCTGACACAATGAGGCCAAATGCAGTTTGACTCGACAAATGTGTTCTTCAGAAAATTCCTTTATTTGCTATCATAAACTTCCCTTCCTTGGCCTGTCTTCAGTCCCTCCCTGTTTTATCCTCTATTTTTGGCAGACAGCTGAAAGATTCCCCCTAAATCAGTTGGAATTTTTGAAATGGCTTGAAATGCCGGTTGAAACAACGCAGGTGCTCAGGTTGGATATGGTGATAGTTTTTGTTCTTTGGCAGTGATGCTGGATGCTTTTGCAAATACATAGTTGGCTATGCATAACATTCAATAATTGGCAAAATTGATTTCTGTGCATGTTCTTTACTATTTAGTCTGGAGTGTCTGGATGCTTGAATGTAATCTTTTTTCTTTTTTTTTTTCCCCCCTTCCTTTTCTAATTAGGCTGACAATTAATGCTGAATGTTATCTTCAGCTTCATAACTTTCCTATGGATGAACACTCCTGTCCACTGGAGTTTTCAAGCTGTAGGTGGTAAAATATGTTTTTGTTGGGTTTGTTTTTTTTTTTCCCCTTTACATTCATGCGTTACATTTCTTAAATCTCAGCAGCAAGAGAGCAAGGGTTAACTTTTTAAAGCCTTGTAGTGAAGAAAAGAACTGACCTATTTATTTTTTTATTAGATTTATTGCATTATTTAATGCATTATTAAATGCAGTAATGAATGAGTTGTATTTCATGCATTTCATTTAGGTGCAACTTTAAAAATAATCTTATTGCTTAAGAGCCTGATGCAATGCCCATTCCAGTTAATGGAAATCTATTGCCCTGGAAGAACTTTATTTTTTATGCCTGCCAGACTTGCCAGCTTTGAATTAGGTCCATGTTGTATACTTAAAAGGAAAATTAAGATCTGCCTTCTTCCACTGTTCCTGTAAATGCTTAGTCACTTTAAGAAGTCCTTCTCCTTTCAGTGGGACTGACTTATGTGACCAAGAAACACAACTTTCAGGCTTAATTTCTTTAATATAAACTATATTTAAAAAAAAAAAAAAGTTTCTAAAGGAATCATGCTATTACTGGCAAAAGAAACCCAAACCATCTGAACACAGCTAAATGACTTAAATATGAAACCTAATAGGCAATGAAATCAAACTTCAGTGATTCTTTTTAAATTAATGTTTTCATTTAATACTTCCTTCTTGAGTGCTTCTGGCTAAATGAGCTTTGATAGTTCCATTGATTAAGTAGATGTGCAACACAAACAAGTCTCCCTTAATTTCATTTCTGCCTTTCTTCAAGATAATGTGGGGCACATGAAAATCAAGAAAGTTGCACTTACTTAAAGTTGAAGTAATGGACAGTGAATCAGGCCACAAAAATCCATTCTGAGAGTAATACACAAATAATAAACATCAGTAGGAATCTTACAAATTTATGTAGTCAAGCTCTTTGTGGTCTTTTAATGATAATGTATATTACATTTGTGCATTAATTCATAGTGATGATTCTGAGCCAGTTTTTCTGAGTTCTAGAATATTGTGTAGATATTTACTAAATGTTTGTATTTACATAGTTTTTGATCGGTCATATATTCCTAGCTAGGCTTAGTACTGAGACTACATGTTTTGTGGTTAAATTTTACATGTATCAGGTGGACTGTATATTGGCTTTCTGTCTGATCCACTTTATGTATACCCTTGGTTTAGTTTATAAACAGCTTCAGAGATTACAAAATATGTTTTGGTATACGCTGTGGCTGAATGCTTGATTTGCTCTGTTTTATCCTAGATGGATATCCCAGAAATGAAATTGAATACAAATGGAAGAAAACGTCTGTTGAAGTGGCAGATCCAAAATACTGGAGATTGTATCAGTTTGCATTTGTAGGATTACGAAATACAACTGAAATTTCTCATACCTTGTCTGGTAAGGCAAAGTGTTAAATATTATTTCATGTAATATCTGTGTAAAACAAGACTAACAGATGAAGATAGAAGTGAAAACCATTCTCAATGTCGTGTTTTGTTTTTGTTTTCTTTTTAATTCATAGGTGATTATATTATTATGACAATCTTCTTTGATCTCAGCAGACGTATGGGGTATTTTACTATTCAGACATACATTCCTTGTATACTCACAGTTGTTCTTTCATGGGTGTCATTTTGGATCAATAAGGATGCAGTTCCTGCAAGGACTTCTCTTGGTAAGAATATCTTTTTTCAACCTTGAAGGGTCTGGCACTCCTCAGGAATACAAACCTGCAGCAGGGATAAATTGAACACAGTTTATTCCCCTTCACATTGTGACCATTGGTCACCCTTTCTCTTGAACTGCAGGATTAAGAGTGGAAGGATCCTGCTGTGGTTGCACCGTAGGGCTTAAGGAGGAAGTGTTGAGAATGAAAATCTGGAAATCCTGAACCAAGCCTTGTGGATGTGGTGGTGTTCACATAAATACATTTTCTTCTCCTTTGTGTTCTTTTTGCCATCTCTAGGAACTTGCGATATGGCAATCATAAGTCTGACAAGTATGATTAAACTTCACTTAGCATCATGGAATGAAGGATTTCATTGCTACACAGGCAAAAACCATGAAGGGTTTGTTTTTTGGGTTTTTTAGTGGTGGGTTTTTTTTGTTGTTGTTGCTGTTGGTTTCTAATAACAGACATGATTCAGTTCTTTTAAGCACAGGGTAGGACAGAAAATTTGCAACCAAAGTTGAGTTTAAAGCAGTTAAGCATATAACTCAAAAAAAGCCTGAATCACTGTCCTGCTTTTACTACTGATAGCAATGAAATGTGTTGCAAGTTCTGCTACAGAGATAAACCTGTGTTAGTGTCATCTGGCATGTTTAGGATGGTACCAGTCTCCTGTGTTTGACTGTTGAGGCTTCATGCACTGCAGTGCTTGGAGTGCAAGGACAGACAATAGCAACTTTGAGCTTAAAAGTGATTAGGTGCTTTTAGGAAAACTGGTGATAGCAGTATGACCTATTCCAGGGGAAAGATCAAGAGCTGAGAGTGTATCTTAGAAAGTGAGAGATGTGAGTTACTTTTTCTCATCAGCTTATAGGATTGTGAACACACCATTCCCAATTTAATAGGAGTGTTTCCTATCAGAAGGGTGAGTCGAGGCTTTAACTCCCTGACTTTCCCAGTGAAACTGGACCACTTGCAGTCAAGCCTGCAAGATGAATGAGCCAAGAAAGAAAGTAAAGAAAGTAACCAAAATAGCTCAGTAGCCTAATGAAAAGGTAAAGGAAGAAAATCCAAATCTTGGTTCTTAAATTTATGCTATTTAAATGTACTACAAAATTTAGTGAAGAGAGCCTAAAATCTCTCGTAAATTATCTTTTGATAGTTTCTCTATCTTTCTCTCTATCAAAAGATAGTTTCAAATCTTGATTTTTAAATTGATTTGACTAATCATTGCACATCACTGTCTGTACTGTCTGGAAAGTCACTAGTTATAAGAGGAAAAACTGTTGTATTGGTATGCTGTGAGTTGTGTATACAGACTGCTCTTTTTTCTTTTTTTTTTTTTTTTACTGCCACAAACCTTGCAAATTTACCTTTAATCTCTCAGTTAAGATAGAATTTTCATGCTCCCACTTCAGCAGTACTAACCTTCATCTATTTGAGATGTACTACAAATGTTTACAATATTATATTTACAGCTCCCTGCAGTTAACTCCAAGCTCCTTTTGTATGAACGTGCAGAAGCCAATTTGACAGATTGCAGGATGACTTTTCTTGCATGCATACGTTCTGGTGGAGAAGAAAGAGAATACCAGACAAAGCAATTTTATAGAAAATAATGATAAATTAAGACAAGAAAACCAAAACTGAGCAAGGTCCATTATGGCAAGCAGTTGTCATGCTGAGGGCTGTGTGTCAGCCCTCTGTATGCCTTTTGAATAGCAGAGAGGACTGGGAAAGCCCAGGTGTCCTTTTGTCCTCTCTGAACAGAGGTCAAGGGAATGCTGGGTGTGCTTGCCTAGAGGCTGTGCTGGGGTCTGGTATGCTGAAAAGGCTTGGGCCTTTTTCTTCCATATGTGTTGAAAGATCCTTGCAGATTGTGGTTTCCCAAAGCAAAAATTTGAGGCAGTTTAAGGTATTTAAATGTGTAACTACACAGAGAAATGCCTAATTGATTTTCAAAAGCATCTAGTGAGAGCGAAGCACTTTTATAAAACTCTCTGGCTATCTGTTTGCCTTTTAAGGCACATGATTTCATTGGGAAATCTGTTGTAAAATCACCACTGCTTTCCTTCTGTGGGATCAGTCCACAGCGACCCTGATTCCATGCTTTGATTTAAAAGCCATAGGCAGCCTTAGACTGGCGTAACACATTTTTTGCAGTAAGTCTGTGCATGTAAATAACAAATTATTTGTGTGTTCGAGTATTGCTCTCTGAAGGAAAGGTCACATCATATTTTTGGGACTACTATGAAAAAGGCTTTGCTTCTCCCTGAAGCATCAAGTGTAAGAAGAAAGTGTTAACACCTTCTAAATGTTAAACCGGTGAAAAGTGGTATAGTTGAGATTCTGAACATATCTCTATTAAGGCCAGCTTGTTCTTTTAATTAACTTGTATGTAAGTGAATCAAGGGAAACATTTTCTATTACTTAAGACACAGTATTGAAAACATACCTAGTAACTTAGAGAATGAGACCAGAAAGGCTGTGAAGGTCATCTAGTTTGCTCTGTGACATGTCAGAAGCAAACAATTGAAAGTGTTCCTTCTCCTTGTGTTTTCTGAACGTTTGAAATCATTGATAAATAATACACCTTTTTTTTTTCTGAATGTGTCCTTTTGTACATTTTAATCTTTCAAGAACTGAAGGACTTTTTTGTATTAATAAAATTTGTATGCTTATTTGTTCCTGTTTGTCTGTTGAATTTGTTTCATGTGCACATTCTTTAATAGATATATGAAATTACACAAACTTTCTCAGTGTTATTGTTTATTGAGTGTGTTTGGAAAATGGAAGGGATTTAACCTGAAGGTGAAAGGTGCTGCCTTTTATATGAGCCCACGGTGGCTGCTGGATCCAGAGGGATGATTTCTTCCAATAGCACTGATGTGTTTGGCTGTGATCAGCAGTGACCCCTGTTGTGGCTCATTTCTTGTATTAATGAATTAAGGGACAATTTCAGGATTTTTTTGTTGCAATATAATTGAATTGTTTATACACTTCCCTCTTCTGGTCTTTTTTTTCTTTCTTTCTTTCTCAAACAGGCATTACAACAGTGCTGACCATGACAACATTGAGTACAATTGCAAGGAAGTCACTCCCAAAGGTTTCCTATGTGACAGCAATGGACCTTTTTGTTTCAGTTTGCTTCATTTTTGTGTTTGCTGCCTTGATGGAATATGGCACGTTGCATTACTTTACCAGCAACAGAAAAGGAGACAAAGGAAAAGAAAAGAAGACAAAATCTAAGCCATCAGTAAGTTTAAACAAACAAGAAGAAAAAAAATATTACAGAATGCTCTTTATTGTAGCATTAATTTTGAGGGACTGTTCTTAAGTAAAAGAGTTAATGTTCAAACATAATTTACACTAATATTTATTTTGTCTTTTTTTTTTTTTTACAGTTGAGAGGTTGTACTAATTTTGTGTAAATACTACTAACGAACAAAGGTTTTGAATCATTCTGCTCATAAGCCTAAGCTAGAGAACGGTTTGCTATAATATTCCATGCTTCCATGCCCAAGTCCCTGTTAAGCTGCCCATGAGGTGTGTGCCTATGGAGACAGTTGTCAGGCACAGTGCTTCTGAAAACAGCACCTGAGAGAGAACCATAGATAAGACTGTAGCAGTAGAGATAATGTAAACAGACTGGAGGGGTGAGGATTTGTTTGGATCCACATTGTGTAACTTGGTTCTTACCTCTCTAGCTTTTTAACATAAAAAGTGCTTATTACTGGTCAGTATTCTAACACCCTTCCACTTCAGAAATCTACCTTAACTCTTTCTTTTTTTTTTTCTTTTTTTTTCTTTTATTTATTTCTTTCTTTTTCGCTCCCATATTTCTTTCTGTTAAAATGAACCTTCTGCTTTTACAGGTTGATGTTTGAATCCCTACATATCCCAGGAATTAGTATTATTACAAATATAATATATACAAATATATATTTTAAGAAGCTTTCTGTTCATGTGATAAGAACACTGGAACTTCCAAAGAATCTATTGTTGGACGCCACTACAAATATTTTAAACTAATCTTTAATAAAATATTGAGGTAAAAGTGTTAAATAGTTTATTCATTCAAACACTAGTCTTAATATCTGAGGCTTGATTGTAGTCATCTTTTGGAGAGAATAAGAGGAAGGACAATATTATAAAGCCCTCTTCCAGATCATTTCATCAAAGGAAGCTGGAGCATAGCTGAATCATAATATCAGTTGTCTTTTCTGAGTGAAGGCTGTGTAAGATGAAAGAGAAATTGAAATGAAATTAGAGAAGCCCAGATACACAAATGCAGAAATACTGTTGCAACCCATATCCCTTCTGCAACTAGTGTCAAAAAGCACAGGTGCAACAAGTTTGAGCAGCACTGCTGGGGGAGACTATCTTATGGGCGCACTGCGGGGCCACTATGGCTTAATACTGGGGAAATTAGAGCCTTTGTTTTTCATATGGTGAGCTGGTCTGAGTGGATCAGCTCTGTTTTACAGCAAGACTAGTGGTGAAGGGTTAATACTGCCCTGTGCTGCCTTGGTAAGACATCACTGTGATCCTCAAGGAATCCAGCACAGCTACAAAAACTGGAGAATGGAAACCTCAGACTTCCTTGTTACTGGTAGAAGCAAATGTGGGCACAATGGAAGGCATAGAAAACTTAGGCTTTGGCAAGAGCCACAGTTGAGCAATGAAGGTAAAAGATAACAGAGGCTGCAGAATTTGGGGGATTTCCAGTGTTAGCACAGCAGGTTCAATTTTAGGTTGATGTTGCAATGAGGTCTTAACAACACTTAAGGAACAGGAAGCTGGAAAAGGCCTCCTCTCAGCATGCACAACAAGGAGAAAAGGAAGAGGGGAGAAAATACTACTTATTCAAACTAAGGAGCTATAAAAGATCAGCTACTGGCGGATCAAAAGCCATCAAAGTGGTTTGCAAGCATACTGTACTGAATGGAGTAACAAGACTTTCCAGAATCTGTTCGCACATCAGTCGTTTATGCAATAATCTACCAAATGCTTTGAGATTTTCAGTGCATATCACAGTTTAAAATGTACAAAAACTAGGAGATAGAAATTATGACATCTGTTGAATAATATTAAAATTAGGAATATAATACTCCAAACACTGTTTGGTTGTGGTTTACTGTCTTCTTAAAGCATGCTGCTTGTTTCTAAGTAGTTGAAAACCAACTATATTTTCACATAGAATTCCTTAAACATGTTTCACCATGTTATAAGACCATACTAGCTAGGAGATTACTCTAAAAAACTAGGTAAGACATTACTCTAAAAAACGGGGGAATTAAATTTAATATACATAGATGCAAAGAGTCTCATTTTATAAATAGGGGTTTTTTTTGGTGATATTTCATAAAAAGCTATAAAATTTCTTGTTCTAACTAGAACAATTAAAGAAGCCATCTAATTAATTAATGGGAAGTCATACAACTACAATTTTATTTTTTTCTTCGTCTTCTCTCCCTTCCCCCTTTATCTTTGACAAAGACCTCTATTCATTCTTTTTCTCTTGTAGTTATGGGTATGTAACTCAAAAACCCAATTTAATTAAAATAGTCAGTTTAATTCCATCTGAAAAGTTCTCATTTACAGGTGTTTCCTCCCTTGGAAAACTTGCCTTACATTGTTCATCTATTTCTGTTGCAAAATGCAATAAAGGCTTATTATTCCATGATCTGATGGCAGTAAGAGTCAGTAAATGATCTTGTGGAAAAAATGGTGAGATTTTGCAAATGATTACAGCAGTTTTATCTTACAAAATATGTGCTGTCATAATTCAAGAAAGGTGGTAGGAACTGGCTTATGTAAATCCACATAAGTAAAGATAATGAGTTTGGGCAGGAAAGATTAAACTTAATTAGTTGCAGATTTTGTTCTGATCATCATTTCACTTGAAGACAATGCATCACCTGTGCTATGATCTCAGCAGATCATGACTTTCTTTTGTACGTCTGTTAAAGTTAATGCAGAATAATTTGGTTTTGGTCCTGTCAGAATGTATTATAAATGCTTCTCACTCTATGTGGAATTTTATCTACAATATTAGTAGGCATGTACATGAACAATCAGCATGTACTACTGTAGCTACATCTTTGTTGCTTTTTTTTTAAGTCTCTGCAGATGGATACAAAGCCATTTTCTTGTGAGGTGGTGGTGGTTTTTTTCCCCTTTCTCCTCACGTTGTCCCTTTCTTACACACATTTTATCTATTGCCTGGAGGTAGTTAGGTCTATAAGATGGTACTATCTTTCTGCCTCTCTCAGGCCACCTCTTCAGACCTGTGATTCAGTAGCCAGCTTAGGTCTGTGCTGATGACATGAGCAGTTAAAAGCACTACTGTTACTTTTCCTCCTTTTATGGTGTTTCTGAGTTGGGGATTCCTGTTTTACCCCATTAGTAGAAATGAATCATGCCACAAATCTTATATTAGCAGAAGCAACAGTCAGAAAATTATTGTAAAGCCAGAATAGGCTTTACAATAATAAGCTCCTACACATCTTCAACAAAATAATGATTTTTGTAAGTTAAAAAAAAAATTGAACTTACTTTTCATGTTTTGTAAAAATAATCCCTGTTTGTAATACCTCAAATTAGGATAGAAGCATGTAACTGCTGTTTGTTATTGTTGTCAGTATTTTAGCATAACTGAAAAGAATAATGAGGTTCTTTAGCATGATAATTAGCTCCCTGGGTCATCATGTCTAAAAAGTACTGAAACAGCAGTCTGTGTGAAACTTCCTCTGGTAAAGACACTTATTAAATAAAGCTATTAAAAAATGCTATGCATACTGCACTGCTTTAAAACATCACCTCTTGGGACACAGCCTGAAATGTCCCTTCAGCAACAGAATGCCTCCTTCACAATGCATAGAGATCTATGTGCTGGCCAGACTAATTCCATGGAAGTGAGACAACGGGACTCTACCTCATGAAGTTTAACCAAGCCAAGTGCAA